GAGACAGAAAACAGCCAGATGGAGAATTGGAATTGGAGGCAGCCAACGAACAAGAACAAGACAAGAAACCCAAGATGAAAATAGACCCAAAGTTGTTGAGACATATTTTGAATGCGCATTTTTACACAAAAGAATGCCACACACCAACACCTCCGAGTCCCATGTGTTTTCTTGCGTTAGCTGCCACTTAAAAATAATAGCTGGAAAACCTTTGAATCGTGAACTGTGAATGCTCGCAGGATTCCGGTGCTGTGCCTCATTTCTTTTGGAGCGCCATACAATTCAACATGCTAATTAGCTCGAGGCTTATCTAGAAAGACACTCTCCTCACCGTAGAGGTATAGAGGGAAAATATGCACAGGCCTTTCATGCATTACCACAAACGTTCTGAATCCCTTTCCCACAAGACTGTACATAAACAGCAATGGACAGTTGTTGTTTTGATTGAACATCCTACCAGACATGCTATTTAGGATGAGCCAAATGAGTTGTGGTTCTTTACTGCTCTTCAAGCATCCATCACTATCTCAATTGAATAATTGTCCAGTTGATTCATTTCAAAAATGCTTCTTGACTTTTGTGGTGTGAAATAAGAAGACAATCTAGCTAACATGACAGGTGATTGCCTGAAAACAAAAGTCTGCAGTGCACTTGCCAAAATTCTGCAGATTTCGGTGGCTAAATGCAAAAATATGTTGGTGTGAAAGAAAACATTAGCAGCTTTGAATCTAATTCTCCCCTTTCTGTCCCTCTCTGGCTATCCATCATCACACTCAAAGATCTACCAGCAGTTAAAGATTGTCCACTGATCAGAGCTCCTTATCTCGGATGCCAGTGTTATCAAGATTTGGTCTCTCAGTCACTGTCTGTACCTTTAAAGAAAGTTCGGGCAGACAAAAGCTCAAGAACAACCTCAAGAAATTATTCTTGTCAAATTTGACTCACATTTGTGAGGTGTGACAGGTTATGTCACTTGAAGAAGCTATACATGCTCACTGCATTTCAGTGACGGGGGAAAGCCTGCAGGAAGATTGACTGTATGCGTGGGTGAACAACTAAGCTGTTATGGAAATAACCATTTGCCGTTGGCACCTGTCACCTATGCGGCCATTGCATTAGACTGGCAGGATATTGGAGAATCAGATTGGAGTTGGCAGCAATTAGACAGACCATGTGTGAAGATCTATCAAAACTCATTCAGTAGCTGATAAATATGTGATTAAGATGCAGGACAGAATGTATTGCTACTTAGCGACAGTTGAAATATTAATTTCATAAATCAGACCATGCCACATACTTGGTACCGGTCTTAGCATTAAGAGTGCACCCTATGGTGTCTCTAATGTTGTTTTCGTTTGCATTGTCAGATTTTTCATTGTTATGTTGTTGCTAAAATAGGCAGTGCTGCCTTGCAGGAGGAGATAGACCACACTGCACAAACTTCAAAGTTTATTGTCTTTGCTTAAGGTGCCAGAATGGCAGGAAAAGAGGAGGAGCCAGGTATGCATTTTTGGGCAATTTAGAGCTCCAAGAGGGATTTGAAATACCATTGTATTTTTCATATTATTATTGACATGGCAGAAGTATTCCTTTCAGGTGTTCTGAAGTGCGCCTCAGGCTTTGAGTTTGACTGTAGTTCATGTCCAGTTTCCAGTGTATTTCGACATTTTCAAATGTCGTTCGTCTGGTAGGCTGTCCAACGAACATGCACTTTAGGTTGTTCAAAACAGTTTATCTCTGCGTATTTGCCATATGTGACACATTTGATTTTTCATTTTACAGATACATCGTCACTGACTTTGACAGCAAGTCTGACTTGACTTACGTCTTTTGAAAATCCCACACACTGTACTCTGGCCAGTTGATGTAGCACACGGCTCGTCCTGGCAGCTGAGCGGTGCTGGAAAAATAGTACTGGGGGAAAGCCAGGAGCAGCGCCAGGGCCCAGATCACCCCCACCACCAGCTTGGTCTCAGCGGACGACAGTCGCTGCTGGAGTGGGTGGATGATAGCCATGTACCTGCAGGGGGAG